ATATTTTATTATTCTTCAAAGCCGGTTAAAATTGAGGGAATCTCACTTAAAATTGAGTGATAACAATTTATGACGTTATGTCATAATTTATTCGGTTACGAGGTGGTACTAATATTACATATCAGCCCTCTGTTAGTAACTGATGTATTAATAGTGTGTCATTCGCAATTTTCAACGTCAAATTTCGTTATGGCCTAATAAACAGTCTGATGCCTATGTCAATTGGGTTATGTATTAGCAATTTAGCTAACGTACCTAAAAACATTTTAAAAAAATGTGTGTGTGTACTTATGTACGCACTTAAGAAGTTATACTTCTTTAGAGTAACAGAACAAAAATAGCTCAAGATTTCATCCTGTATGTCACAACTCTCTGTTTATAAAAGGAAAGCAGCTAACTTCACCATGTCGCTTTTTGGCTATCGGTTTGCGCGCGCATCGTAAAAATTTTACTCTCATATTTTCTTCCAAACGTGCCAAAGGAATTATAACTTCAAAAAGTCTTTGTAACAGTAAATATAATAATGAAACTACTTAATGTGTCGAAATAAGATGCTTATGTTCTTTGCTAATTCATTTGTTATTTTAAGAGAATGTCAAATTACTAAAGCAATAAGTGAACATACTTTTATATTTATAATACACATCAGCTCGGGCTAGAAAAAATTGACTTTATATTTCTTATTTATTTAAGGCAGTGGTAGCCCAGTGGTAACGCGCTCGCTTGGGAAACCGAGCGAAGAGGATTCAGATCTCGGGTCTCGCACCTCTGATAATTTCATGTGCGAATCATTTCTAACATGATTACCACTTGTCTTAATGGTGAAAGAAAACATCGTGAGGAAATCTGCATGTCTGAGAGAACCTAGCAAGTTTTCAAAAGACAGGTGAAGTCCGCCAAGCCTTAATATTACATAAGTTTACTTCTCACTTGACCAGTGTGGTGGACTATGGCGTAATCCCACTCGCATTGAAGGGAGACCCGTACCCAGCAAAGGGACGACTCACATAAAACTGTTTGCAATTATAATATTAGTCCCATAAATAGTATATAATAGTAGGGGAGCCCAATAGGGGATTTTTGTAGTTACTCAAGCGCGGCAGATTAACATAAAAGAGGTTACCTTGCACTCTATTGAGTACTTTCACCATAATATAAGTCTACTATATAAAGGCGCGCGTCTAGGGAAGCCGATCAAAATATTTAAAAAATGTTTTGATAAGGTAGAAATACTTGAAACCGTCAGATTAAGGTGTGGTAGCCTACCAAAAAAACATTTTAAAAAACATTTTAAAAAACATTTAAAAAACATTTTTTAAATATTTTGATCGGCTTCCCTAGACGCGCGCCTTTATATAGAATACTTATATTATGGTGAAAGTACTCAATAGAGTGCAAGGTAACCTCTTTTATGTAAATCTGCCGCGCTTGAGTAACTACAAAAATCGCCTCTTGGGCTCCCCTACTATAATATTTAGAATCGATTCTGTTGTTCTAAAGTTATATCTCACAGACAAACATATTTTTACTTTTTATAATGATATAAGAAAGTTTTAAGTGTAAAAAAGTAGCGTCTACGTGACTTATCCGCTACGTCGCAGCAGAGGTACTTGCGGGCGCTATACAGGCATTATTTCATTGAATAATTTTGATCGAGTAAATTAATTGGACGTTCAAAAATATTTTTGTTAATTAAAAATACATAATTTTGATATAGGGAAAGAAAAATTACATAAAAGTATTTTAATTTTTTTAATATTATTGTACAATCCTTTAGATATACATAATATTTTCATATGTTCGTCTATTAATGATAGAGATCGTACTACAATTTTTTATAGTTCAGTCAAATAAGCTTTGGTAGAGTTCTTTGTAATAAGATAAAATATTTGGCCAAAACTATATGACTAAAGAAAACTGATGTCCTGAATTGTAAAACTAATATTTTTATCAACTCAATAAATGACATTTCAAATTGTTAATTTACTCGTATTTAACGGTTTATATATCCGTTCATTCGTTCTGACGTGATTGAGTAACAAACATCAATTATGAGATAAATCTCAATTCTCTATTAAATTAGATCTCTGCTTAAAGATTTTATACAAAGATAACATACTACAAAGTTTATTTTTAAAAATATATTGAAATAATATGTAAATGACCGTTCTCACTGTTCCCTAGAGCAGGCTACTTGCATCATCGAACGCAGACATGTGCTAGTGGACGAACATTGATCGCACCAAGCTAAGTCGAGACTCGTCACTATACCAGAGCTGGATTTATTACGTTTGTATTTTTCACAGAGTGACTGTAGTGGGCTTTTTTTCTGCTAACATTAAGGATTACATCGCATCTCATTTTTATACTAAACTGTTTTTATTTCGGCGTTTCATTTTTGTAATTATGTCCATATTTTTATATAATATGTAGAAGGAATGAAGGACCTGAAAGTTTTATGATTCGAAAAATGCAATTTTTAACTCATTTTTACTCCTTGTAAGCCCTTTTTAATATCCCACTGCTGGGTACAGGCTTCCCTTCACTACAAGGAATATATATACATAGTCCACCACGCTGTCCAAGTGCGGGTTATTAGATTTCACATGAAAAATATTCACACATGACAATATCAGAGGTACGAGACCCGGGATTTGAACCCGCTTTACTTGATTTCACAAGCAAACGCGATACCACTGCGCTATCGCTGTATTTAAGATTAACTTCTTAGAGTTTAAGTAATATATATGTATAATGTCAAATGTAATTGATGTGTAACATCATTAATTTCCATTAATATCTCCTAAACTATAGAAATCAAAGTCAAAGTGATCGACACGGATACTTGCAGTCATTTAAAATATTACCATAGAGCTGTACATCAAAGTTTATTTCTGCTAATCCCTCCACGACGCGGACACGCCGGCGTGTCAATTAACAATAGATTTCTTAAAATTTTAATTTATTACTTAGAAATTTAACTGGAGGAGCTATAGCTATTCAGAGATTCATAAGCACAGGTAAGATGGATTCTCGCGGGTACCTGTGATGACTATTGACGATGATGATGATTATTAATGATCACTATTAAGATTAATAGTCATCATTTTAATATATTGTGTTGTAATATTGTTTAAAAGTCTCCGACGACAGGGTTAATGATTTCCCCTGCTTATTTGTTTTAGATTTACTCAATTTCATTTAAATGTATGTTACTATTTTTTCATCCCTGACAAATATTGATGGATCAATATTAATTTATTCTTAAGATAATATTAAATATATAATTTAAACTAGCAGCTCACCCTCGCTTCATTCGGGTTCGTCCCTGGGTACATTTTAACGGTTAGTATGAAACAGATAGACTATATATTATATATAGTCGTATGATGAGTTGTTGTGGGTTGTATTGTAACGTGTTTTCCCGTGACAATAAGATAATCTCCCGCAGTAAAAAGTAGCCTGCTACTCTGCAGCTCTCGAACTATCTCCACACAATAAATCAAGTCAATCCGTCACCCTGTTTCGACGTGAAAAAAGAACAAACAAACAAGCAAACAGCAATTTTAATATATTATTTTTCATGCGTCCACATTTGGCCGGTTCATATTACCTTGACCAATATTAAAGTATGCAGAATACATAATCCAGCGACTGCTTCCTCAACATTTGTGTGGAATGCGATCTGAATTCTTTGAGGATTTGACTCACAGCCATTCACAGATTCTAATACGCCACAAATTTTGGTCTCGCTACTTTGTGAAACCCATATTGGATTGGAAAAGTATTGCTAGCGTTTGCATAAATTTCCCTAATAAAAACAAAAATGAAATTTCGAAAAACTCTAATGATTTAAATATGATATAACTATATGAAGCAATACATTACTAATGATTTACCCGTGTTTCGTTCGGATGATTATCTATTTGTGTACTAAAATTTCATCTAAATCTGTCCAGTCGTTTGATTCCCAGTTCCCATTATTGTGTGCTTCTGTATAGTAAAAAAACCATCTAAACATGTCTACACTACAATTATAAAGAGGAAATATTTTTATTTTTGTATGTTTGTTACAAATAAACTCAAAAACTACTAGATTGATTTAGATGAAATTCGGTAAGAAGATAGTTTGAGACCATGAAAAGGACATAGGATAGTTTTTATTCCGGAAATCATCCCTTTAGGGGGTGAAATGGGGATGAAAGTTTATATGAGGAATCAACCCATCACTAAATTTTTATAAATATCAATTATTCGACTACATCTTCCATACATTTTTATATGATTTACAAAGAGTTTAAGTGGTAAATCGCTATTCTTTCTTTTTTCCATCCACATAAAGATTATTGTGAACAATATCTTTTGGCCAGAGACAAGTATAGATAATGTTTGGGTAAACAAAGAAATAGTAAGAAATGAGCATTATATTTACCCCAGATTGCCTCTAAGCGACCAAACGTTACGTTATAATAATTATATTAATTAATAGTAATAAATTAATAAATAGTATACATAATTTATTTATTATTTTATATTTTACATTACATAAGTGAAGAGTAACATCGTATTCAAGCAATAAAATTCAGAAATAGTAACTTTTGTAAATATATTACCGTATTTTTTAAATAACATAATTATGCATCTTTTCTATTTAGAAAACTAACTCTATGAGTTTTTTAATATTATAAAGTTATTCTTGATCAACATTTTTTACATTTTAAATGTTAAATGTATAATGCAAATGTTCTTCGCTTTAGTGCTTATTTGTTCAAACGACCAATACTTGTTCTGATTTACAGAAGAGTGTTTTCTCCTCAATTTAAAAAACAAAGGTTTATTTCTAAAATTTAAATACATAAATAGATAAAATTCATTTTTTCGTCTTTATTAAAGTAAAATATATATTCGAAATTTAAATGTCAATAACTCTCGATTTAAAAACCTTCTCGGTAAAAACAAATAAGCACTGAGACGACGTGTTGACGCCTGGCTTAACTTTATATTTGATACTCGGTGTATTCCCACTTCCATGTTTTATTTACGCTGTTATCGTAGATCGGTGAGATAGGAACCTTGACTGTTTCAGGAACCTAAAAAAGGTACAAAGTAGGTTTAGCTTACGTAAGCTTAAGATAAAAAATTGATATACTATTTCATAAAAAAAAATAAAAATTAAAAAACCGATTGCGTAAAAAGCAAACAAAAAATATCAGAACAAGTTGACGAGTATTATGCAGTCAAACACATGTTTTGTACAAACTAGCCACAAGCCTTGCTACGTGCATACAATATGTATGAACAAGTCCTTTTTTTAGGGAAATTCACTAATACAGAAATAACACTCCGTTTACCACTTTTTGCAACACAAATTATATTATTGAAAGTGGTAAGTACAAAAATGTCCAACGCGATACTTTCTTTTAACCAGACTAATGTTAAAAAAGTTTCTTCTTACAAATTACCTGCCAGCCAGCTAACAATATTTTAAGATATGAATATATAATAGGTAAATATGATTAAGTATGAACTCTAATTGTAGTTAAAATATTATACATCAATTTGTGCTGTATTTTACGTATCGAAATATAACAGATTTGCTTTGCATCGGCTGGCACCGACTTCTAAAATATCTGATTAGGTATATTAATATATATATATATATATATATATATATATATATATATATATATATATATATATATAAAATAATACATATATATAAATGAAAACCCCGCTTTAGTTATTTTTTTCATTATAGTGCCTGGAAGTTGGGTTTTTTTAAGTTTTTGACATTACAAACAGATACTTCAATTTTATTTATCTGTATAAATAATTTTCTTTTTATCATATATAAAAAAAACTAAAATATTCACCTGACCGCTAATGTGTCCCTCTGTACCATCAGTACTTCTTGGTTGAGGAACCAAGTTCACGTGCTCGTACGCGTCAGATACCCCGCTGTCTGGTGAGTTCGGGGAGTCCATGTTATTCAAATACCCTTTAGGCACCCTACTTTTATGTACACAGTAGTCTCCTGTGAAGGGGTTTTGATAAGCTACCACCGTTCTGTAAAAGATGATGGAAATTAGAAATGTATTTTATTTTATGTACATTTAAAAAAATATTGCTTACACAAAATGGCTACCTAAATTTTGTGTATGCAATTTTTTATAAAATAAACTCCATAGATCATGTTATAAAAATAACTTATCAAATAAAGTACCTGGGCGACAGAGCTTCGTCCGACGTAAGCGCTCGTTACAATGCAAGCAACAAAAACTTTTACGAGATGGTGCTGCATGATATTGTCAGCGTGAGACATTTCATACCACTTGTATACATACAGGTGGTTATGTGGGACTCATCGGCTAGAAAAGCCAGTACTACCCACTTAAACCCAACAAAACCTCCTCCGTCTTAATGGAGTGTCGCAGGATCGCTTCCGCACTCAACTACGATGCCCCGATAACAGGTCTGTCGAAGCAAACCATACCACCAAGAGCTTACTCCAACAGTCCACTCTACCATCAAATAAGTTCCAGGAGCAAGCGGCATGGGACAACATCCACCGAAGTGGTATTACTTAGCCAACTCATGGTGGTGAAGTGGTACTACTTATCCAACCCATTTGTAAATTAATATTATGCAGTTTTATATCAGAGAGTGTTTGTATTTAATCTGTATATTTAGTACTCGACATTTTGTAATAAAACTTAGATATAATCTTAACTACTACCAACAACATATTTTTTTTTTATAACCCGACATTCCCCTCCCCTCCGCCTTAATGGGACGCCGCAGGATCGCTTGCGCATAACTACTACGGCGCCCCGGCGGCAGGTCTGCCAACGGCTGACCACCATACCGATGGGGCTGCTCCACAGTCAACTCTGCTACACCAGAGAGGTACCCGGAGCAGCCCCATTAAACCGAAACTCCGCCCACCGAAGTGGGCCACCTCCAATCGGCTGCAGAGGACAGGGAGAGCGGCAACGAAACACCCTACCAACAACATACATTACTTCTGTTAGTAGTAGAAGACCATTAGTGTGATTCATTATAGATTTAAATAATTTTAAGGAAATAATAATTTTACCGCCCTGTGATTTATAACTTTTTCTTTCCTCTTCTATACAATAAAAAATTAAAAAATTAAAAATCCTATCCTATTTTAAATAGTTTAAAATTTATTTATTTTATAAAACTTTACCGTAATTGTTCATTTGCCGCTCCCTCACTTTTGTGTGAAAACAACACTCTAGTTGGCCTCAGTAATATTGTGACCTGAAAAAGCTTACATAAACTTATTCTATTACTGAACTTTCGCGCAGCGCGTGCACTTTTATTTTAGTTTTGCTTGCAATCAATACGTATTCAAATATGGTGGAAAGTTCGCTCAAATTTTACTATATCTGTGATTATTATTGGGCTTAATACTTTCTTAAATTTGTGCGAAAATTCAACATTGACTTAATTAAAATGTTGACCTCGATGTTTCGAATGCTTTACAGCAATCATGGTCCCAAAAGATAATTCATCATAATCATGGTCATGGTGGTTTTAGACGTCTCAATATAGTTGTTACAGACAGTACCTACCCACAATATTATATAAATTTACGTAATGAATTTAAAAATATAAAAATTACACAAAATACTTCACCTAGTACGGTAGTAGTAAAATGTTTTATTGGGTTTATCTGTCAAGAAAATTTTCGTTGCAGCTCAGTAAAGTATATTTTTTTATTGATTTAGGGTTAATTTTAAATTATTTTAAATAAAACTATCTTTTCGGATTTTTTCGCGGATTTTTTTTGATTTTTGGTTTACGACATTTCGAATGCTTTACAGCAACCATGGGTTACGGGAGAGACTAAGATTTTAAGTATTATAAAAATATGGCAATATTATTTATTTAATTTGAGCTGTTACTAAAAAAAATTGAAACTTTATTAATTAAAAATATTATTTAGTGTTGCTATTATTATAATATTATAGCCATAAAGAAGATTAAAAATATTAATTATTTGAGCAATATTCAATTTTTATACGTAATTTAAACAACTTAAAATAATAATTTAAATTCCTATTATTTAGAGTTAAAATATTACTCAACACTATTGCTACCTTTATAGATAAAAGTATTTATTAATCTAAATTACTATTATTTCGATCCAAACAGTATGAACTAACTACATCTAATGATCTGTTATGTTTACTATTGTTGTTATATTTAATATAAAACTACATCAACAATTTATTATGTTTATTATAGTTATTTATTATTAGTTAGTTACACTTTATTATCTATACTAATATTATAAAGAGGTAAAGTTTGTGAGTTTGTGACGTTGTAGGGGATAATCTCTGGATCTACTGAACCGATTTAGATGAAATTTGGTAAGTAGATAGTTTGAGACCCTGAGAAGGACATAGCATACTTTTTTTTCTGGAAATCATCGCTTACAGGGGGTAAAAAGGGGGATCAAAGACTGTATTGGGAAGCAAGTTTTTTATATTTTGCAAATCTGTACAGATAAATAGAATTGAACTGTGTGTTTGTAATGTTATAATTATAGTTTTTTTTACTAAATACATATGAAAGTATATACGGTATTTCTAAGAAAGTAACATTTTTTTAAATTTTTGTCTGTCTGTTTATTCTGGCTAATCTCCGAAACGGCTGGACCAATTTTGACAAAACTTTCACTAGCAGATAGCTGATGTTATAAAGAGTACTTAGGCTACTATATTTTAGAAAAAGAATCTGGGCTCCGCGAAAAAATTTAAAAAGTATGAAGCGAGCGACGCGCTTGAGGGAAGCGAGGGTGCTTATCCTTTATTATTGAGCAAATAAATAAACATAACTTACTTGACCATTACGCTGTAATCTATACAAGCGGTATGCACAGTAGCCGCAAGTGAATATAATTAGTAATAACTGAAACAAAGTTTCTTATTGTTACGGGAAATCTACTGAACCGTCTGTTTAACTACAATTTAATAAGCCATACATATAATAAAATTGTAACTAAGCCGAATCTGTACATTAAACATTTTTTTTGTAAAATCATATTGAAATAAACATTATTATCGATACAGAGGCCGAATCTATAGTTTTTAGATTTTTTCTGTCTGACAGAAAAACTACTAGAGGGATTTTGATAAAATTTGGTATGGTCATAGCTGGTTATACGGGTCAACATGTAGGATACTTTTTATTGGGTTAAAATATCTAATTTCTGAGAAAAAATACAAAAACTGCAATGTAAGAGTATACTAATATGTAAAACCTAAGAATTTGGTTTTATGTCATTTGAACACGGGTGGAGCCGCGGGCAATGCCAGTAACTTATATATACAATGTAATGTAACTAAATGAATGCACTGGCTAAGTCACTATGCATGAATATTTAAAATTATTTGCCTTATTTTGTTCAAATATAATTTTCTAAGTTTACTTGTTTTTAGGTGTTTTTTACATAAAAAACCAATACCAGAAAGGTTTTTATAGATAAAATTGGTCGATAACTACAGTAATAATATAGAATCAAAAAATATATTATAATTTCAGGCTACTTTGAGGTATAAAATATTCCTTCCTTCAATATAATTTATTTTACGGATCTAATAATTTTGATTTTATTTATATACATATTAATTAATATATTATACTTTTATGAATAAAACACTTTAATGTGAAATGTACTTCTATTGATAGGTAATAATTTTAGAAAATAATGTATTATTATATAATTTGTACACAAAAGCATTTTAAGAGTAACAGTTAAGTAACTAAATATTACTTTATATATAGTAATAACTTACCAGAATAGTTAGTAAGATGATATCTATATAAATTATGATCATAGCGGCACTGCACTGCACAATCACCTCTTCATTTTCCAGCAAAACCACCAAAACAACGAAAACATGGGCATATTCAAAAATCTATGGTGTTTTGCGTCGAAATACTGAAAATTGCAATCAATGTTATTGGTAGAAATATTGAATTCCTTAACACCGATTGGTTGTTTATTAAATGTAACACAATATGAACCAATGGGAGGCTGCTACAAAAAGATACAGTGGTTCTATCGTGGCATCTATATTTCTGCCAAAGAATAATTTATATACACCTGACACACACATAAACTGTATGCTATAAAGGCTCATGATTAGTTCTGTACATAAATTCATAATCTATACTCGTATAGTAAAATTGTTACTAAGCCGAATCTGTACATTAAATATTTTTTGAAAAATCTTATTGAAATAGACATTATTATCAATACAGAGGCCGAATCTATAGTTTTTAGAATTTTTGTCTGTCTGTCTGTCTATTACCACATCACGGAAAAACCACTGAAGGGATTTTGACGAACTTTTGTGCGATGATAACTGGTTATCCGGATCAACATATAGAATACTTTTTACCACGGGAAAATAACTCATTTCTGAGAAAAAATACACAAACTGTGTTGTAAAACTAGCAATTTGGTTTTTGGTCATCTAAACGCGGGCGGGGCCGCGGGATATGCTAGTTTTTTATATATTTCACTAACAAAATATAACTATACTGATATTTAACTTCTTATTAATATTAATTAATATTTTGTGATAACTAACAAAATACAATAAAATCATCTATAGGTTTAAGAAAGATCTATCTTATTTAATTATATTTTAAGTAGACACGTGACAAAAGTTTATTTCAAAACAGATAACTTTTTTATAAAAATGAGAGCTTTTTTGTTAATATCTTATCATTTCAATATGACGGAGCTTTTCTTTACATATTCTTTGACTCACAGCAGAGGCTTGGCGCCAACATTGTCGCGACGTCTGTCCGGCACTCCCGATCTATATTCTTATACCTTCGTTTCTTAATTTCTATACTTATAAAAATAATAAAACATATTAATTCATCCTTTAAATAATTTTACTTAACAAATTTATTAAATTTATAAAGCTTACAATATTTTATTATTCTCCATATACTATTAGACCAGGGTCGATAATTTTTAAAACCAAAAAAAATAATAGTAGGATGAAACCCATTAGAAAAGGAGGGGAATATTATAAAAATGAAAGGAAAAATAATTTACGGGCGATCTGAGGTCGGGAAGGGGTGGGGGGTCAGCTTTTAAGGGTAAAAAACGGTTTTTCTCGATTTCCGGAAAAACTAAAAGTCCTATCGAAAAAAATCATATGGTAAAGTTGTAGGCAATAAAAAGATCTAAAACTTTTGTATTTACACTTTTTTCACATAACCTCAAAATTTATGTGAAAAAATCAAAAAACCAAGTTTTTGGTTTTTTATTTTTATCTTTTACAAAAAAAAAATTTTTACGAAATTTGGTGAAAACTTACCTTTTTATGTCCCAAATACGCTGTAATTTATTTGATAAAAATATTTATTTTTTCACCTTATTTTGAATTAATATCGAAAAAGCACCCTCATTTTCAATCGAAAATTCACCCGTCAAAATATCAGCTTTTTTCAAAAAGTTGGTATGTTTTCTGTTCGTTGAAATCTCTACTTTCCGATGGTAAAAAAAATCTATGTTACTATAGTAAATCTTCTGAGAAAATGCAAAAAACAAAAGACCTTTTTTATTTCATACTCTTGCTTATCATTTGCCTTATTGCAGATGATACAAACAGATTCATCCATACTGATAATCTGAACAGACAAAATCAATGAATAATGCCTTCACTATTTTATCGTGAGTATACCCCCATGAAAAAAAGTATATTAAAGAAATAAATGTCAAAATGTATAAAAAATATATTATAAATATATTAAATGAAAAAATAAATATTTTTATCAAATAAATTACAGCGTATTTGGGACACAAAAAGGTAAGTTTTCACCAAATTTCGTTAAAAATTTTTTTTGTAAAAGATAAAAATAAAAAACCAAAAACTTGGTTTTTTGATTTTTTCACATAAATTTTGAGGTTATGTGAAAAAAGTGTAAATACAAAAGTTTTAGATCTTTTTATTGCCTACAACTTTACCATATGATTTTTTTCGATAGGACTTTTAGTTTTGCCGGAAATCGAGAAAAACCGTTTTTTACCCTTAAAAGCTGACCCCCCACCCCTTCCCGACCTCAGATCGCCCGTAAATTATTTTTCCTTTCATTTTTATAATATTCCCCTCCTTTTCTAATGGGTTGCATCCTACTATTATTATTTTTCACTTTTTATTATTTTTAAAGGCTTCTACCCTTTTTTTTTTTTTTTTTTTTTTTTTTTTAAAGTTGGGAAATGCATTTACGCACGACGTGTGGGACACACCGGCGTAAAACAGCCAGTACTACCCACTAAAACCCAACAAAACCTTCCCCAGTCTTAATGGGGCGTCGCAGGATCGCTTACGCATTCAACTACGACGCCCCGACGGCAGGTCCGCCGAAGCAGACCACCACAACCATGGGGTTGCTCCACAGTCCACTCTGCTATCAGAGAAGTACCAGGAGCAACCCGCATGGTACACCGCCCTCCGAAGAGGGCCACCTCCCACCGCCTACCGAAGTGGGCAACCTCCCTGTGCGTTTCTTAGCTTCGCTACTGCTACTGAGCCCCCCCACCACGACAAGGTGAACGCACGTTGGGGGGGAAAGGCTTCTACCCTGGTCTATATGTTTTATCTATACTAATATTATAAAGAGGTAAAGTTTGCGAGATTGTGAGTTTGTGACGTTGTAGGGGGTATTCTCTGGATATACTTAAGCAATTTAGATGAAATTTGGTAAGTAGTTTGAGACTCAGGGAAGGACATAGGATACTTTTTATTCTGGAAATCATCTCTTAAGGGGGTGAAAATGGGGAGGAACGTTTGTATTGGAAGGCAAGCTAGGGACGAACCTTGCTTCGCTCGGGTTCGTCCCTAGCTAGTTTTAATTAAAGGTGACGTAATCTGTGAAGGAAAACATTAAATATTTTTTGTATACAATACAATCTGTATTCTTAATTTGTATAGGATTTCTCTTGAACATTATAAGCTAAAGCTAAGTAATTTGAACCCAAAAAGTGATGGAATCTCTTTTTCTTAATCTAGCCTATAAAAATTATCTATACTTACAAGTTATTATAATGCTGAATATTTTTTGTGTGTTTTGTTTGCTTGAGAGCACTAATAGCTCAACTACATCTAATTCCGATTTGCTTAATATAATTAATTCTATTTAACATCAATGTGACATCGTAGTGTTTCCATATTTTAATATATGTATTCTTACTGTAGAAACTCAACAGTTGGTATTTACACACTTATATTAATAATAATAATTCAGCCCACACTGGTAGACAATATCCAATCAACGTGAGGGAGATAAGTCTACCACGCTGGCTTAGTGCGAGTTGGCGGAGTTCACATGTCTTTCGAATACTAGTTGGAATCTCTCATGCAGGAAACCAAGGAAACGTTGTGTGTTTTTTTTTTCACGGTTAGGCGAATATTGACAAAAGCTCATATATGTGATACTCTAGATTTCAAACCGCTTCACTTAGTTTTGCAAGCAAGTTCGTTAGCACTGGGTTATATCTGCCTTCGTTCATTCATTTGTTTATATTTGGAGAAGGACTGAGAACATTATTACTAATTAGTATAAAAACAATAGTAACAAAGTTCTGTAAATAAGACTTAATTGAACGATATCATCTTAAAGTAAACACTGGCCATCTGTTTAGTCGCTTTCGATGGTTTTAACAATAGCTTAATGAAATGTAAACAATTTTGTTTTTAAAGTGTCGTTGTTCATTTATATATCCAAATTCAATGTAGCAAAGTATTTTCCACTAAAGAATAATCTAAGCAGTGGTAGCTCAGTGGTAACGCACTTGCTTGGTAAGCCAAGTGAAGTACTCGTAGGTTCAAATCCGGGTCTCGCTCCTCTAATATATTATATATGTGCTATTCCAGATTAAAATCTATCTGTGTGCCAATTTTCATCCAGATCCATTCAACCGTTCTGCCGTGATTAACAAGCATCCAAAAATCCAAACAACCATCTAAACTTACACATTTTTAATATTAAGTAAGATATAATATGTTTATAGCATAAGGACATCATAGTGTACTGTAAATGATATAGAAAAGTTCTGAATACGAAGGTAAGATTAATCAGAGTTTGAGCGTAATAGAGGCAGGTTTCTACACAGTATATAATATGAAACAAACTTTAACGATAACTAAGTGTATAATACGCCGTTAGTCGTTAAAGGTAATCTCATTAATATACATCTATCTATTTAGTAGCCAAAAGCAAATAAACATTCAGATTCCAGCCGGTCGTCAACTGTCTTAGAATGTATTAAGCATGCTTCAAACGTGCCAATTTTTATTTGGTACTAGCATTGGCTGCGGCGTCGCCCGCGTTCAGATGACCAAAAACAAAATTCTTAGGTTTTAGATAGGTATTAGTATACACTTACATTGCAGTTTTTGTATTTTTTCTCAGAAATGAGATATTTTCCCGCAGTAAAAAGTATCCTATATGTTGACCTGGATAGCCAGCTATGATCATACCAAATTTCATCAAAATCTATCCAGTGGTTTTCCCGTGATGCAGTAACAGAAAGACAGACAGACAGACAAAAATTCTAAAAACTATAGATACGGCCTCTGTATCGATAATAAAGTCTATTTTAATAAGATTTTCCAAAAAATATTTAGTCTACAGATTCGGCTCATTTACGATTTTATTATATGTACCTATAGACTAGTGACTCACAATCGTTCCTCTCGGGTTCGTCCCTCGTTACATTTTAATGTTTAGTATAGATATCTCAAAGATGAAATATTTTCCTACAGTGAAAAATATCCTATATGTTGACCTGGATAACCAGCTATCATCATAC